ATGAATTAGAGGGATGGAGTTTAAGAAAGGAAGATGCTTTGTTTGTAAGAAGGAAAACAGTAGACAGGAACAAGTTATCCCTGAGAGAGGGCGGGGACCCTGGGAAAAGATGGACACTCATGAGCCTTTGTCCCTGGTTTCCTTTATTAGGAACAGGGACCTTTCCTGCTAGGTGGATACCTACAACTCGTCAAAATCTGATTGGTTTCCTGGGTTGTCTTTGGATGGGTCCCAGATTATAAGAGCCTAACCCGGCACCATTGTGTTCACCCACATTCCTTTTGGTGGGCTTTGATTTTCTCTTGCTCTTTCATCCCAGTCAGGGCCTTATCTCTGGGATTTATAGGTTGGTTAGGAGGAGCTTTATAGAAAAGACAGCTTAGGGCTGGGGATTTAGCTCAGTGGCACTGTGCCTGCCCTGCAAGGGAAAGGTCACTAGTTTAATCCCCGGTACCAGAAAAAGAAAAGAAAAGAAAAAGACATCTTACAGTTAATGATTAAGTAAGGGGGTGCGTGTATATTTAGTCCAGTAACATAGTGACCCTAAAGTGAAAATACATGCATGTGTGTATTTTTATATACGAGAGTTTTTAAAAGTTAGGTAACTGCCACTTGTGTCCTTTGCATTTTATTGGAGCTGAGGGGGCAGTTAGCCTGGTTTCCATGTTCCCGGCTTCCTTTGCGCTTAGCCCACGAGCTTTTCCACTGGTTAATCTCGACATTAGAGAGCAATCCTTCCTTGGTTGTAAATTCTTCTGTGAACTGTACTCTCTGGTGCCTTTCTAGATCTGGTTTCTCTTTCTCTCTGTCCCTCTTTACAACTTTCCTTTTAATTGCTCTTAAAGGAATTCCTCTAGAAAGGTTTTAACTCCTTTAGTAGGGGTTCTCCTCCGAATCTCACTGCAGAGGCAAAAGTGGCTTTTAGAAAGATTTTCTACTTATTTCTTTAATAAAGCCTAATGAGGCCTGAGGTGGATTAACTAATGGGCACCTTGGAACGCTCAGCTGAACTGAGTCAGCGTGGCCTGGGCGTGGAGGACCCACCTGAGGACTGCTGCCAACCGCATAAAGAGAACCGGAGGGGGAAACGGTAGACTGTTAATTTGCCTCGGGAGGCTCGCCTCACCCTGGCCGGTTTTCCGATGCGAGCTCTGGGAAGGAGGAACGCGGGTCCTCACTGCGGCTGGGAATGGCGGCCGTTCTTCCCCGGGGAGCTCTGGTCTTCACCTGGAGCGTCGTTTCCTGGCTCCAGGGCAGGTCCCTCATCCTGGTGGTGCAGAGCCTTCTCCCTGCTGAAGCAGGCTTTCTAGCTCCCACCCCTGGCCTCTGGGCCTTCCCGGTGCAGATTCTCCATAGGGACAAGCAGGAGACACGGCCGTGGGCTGTCGACCTCGGGCTGTCGACCTCGGGCTGGAATTTGCCACGGTGGGATCCAGGCCCTGGGTTCTTTGCATCTCTACTGTGTGGGCGGATCTGTCGCGCTCCTCTGCATTTGACTTTCGGGGTGAATGTTATAAAGCAACCCTATCAATTACGGGTCCTGTATTGAATCTATTCCCTTGCACTCTGACTTCAACAAAACCCTTATTCTCTTCTCTCCCTGCCACGGATCCCTGTCCTTACACGACAAAGTGGACACATGGGGAAGTAGACATGGAAATTCCTGCACTGGGCAGAGGTCTCTTTCAGGATGTGCTGTTCTGTTCTGTGGCTTTTCTTGGCTCCCCTCTTATCTCGGGAGAATGAAAAGAAACTGGACCTTGGCCTCCAGGCCTCTTCTCAGACTGCATGTGAGCTGCGGGGAGGAGGCCTGCTACAGAGGCTTCTCTTTAGAAATGAAGATACAAACAAGATGTTCACCGTAGAAGACGAGGAGTTTGGGAAGGGAGGGAGCTCTGTTGAAATCCCTTTTCTTTCCCTTAAGGACAGATGGGTTACATTAGCGCTCCTGAAACGGACCGGTGGGCTTAGGAGGGGACCTGCGGGGCACCGCGAGCACGTGGTCAGCGCCCTACAGCGTCTGCTTGGGCTCAGGTCCCAGCTTCTCCACTTGCTGGTGGCTGTAACTGTGGGCAAAGTGCCTCTCTGAGTCTCTGTTTTCTCCTTTGATGAGACAGGACAGTAGGAGCACAGGAGGAGGTGTTTGCCGGATGTTCAAGAGCAGGATTTTGCCGCCTCCGCTCCTCCAGCGGCTGTCAGAGCCGCTCACACAATCGTGGTTGGGCTGTGAACGATTCCTGAATGCCAGCTGGCTGTGAAACCCTCGGTAGCTGGAAATCAGCCATGGTGACTTACACTACAGAAACTGTGAAACACTACAAATTACAGCTTGTAAAGTTTTTTTCAGAGCTAATAGAACAACATACCACTACCCCTGCTCCTCTGTTCCCAGATGTCTTTCTTGTCCCTGCTTCTTTGCTGAGTTTGAGGCCAATCATGGGCTACTTAGTGAGTTCAAGGCCAGCCTGAACTACATAGCAAGTCCCAAAGTCATTTGATACAAGCCACACTGAAAGGGAAGGGATTGAATAAGGGAGGCAGGGATCACTGGTTCTTGCAACCTTTCTGTAGTGAAGGCATTGCAGTCCATGTTTAATTTCCGATAATTTAATTAGAAAAACTCACAAGGATGCTCAGTGCTCCTGAGGTGTCTTTGAGACTCAGATTCCCCAAGAATGAACTAGTCTCAGGCCTGGGATTTAGCTCGGTGGTGCTGCCACCTGCCTCAAAATTGCAAGGTCCTGAGTTCAATCCCCGGTACCAAAAAATAAAAAGAATGAACTAGTCTCTTCTTAAAGTGTATCTGGATTATATAAAATTTTTTTCCTCTTTGGTATTTTGTAGTTTCATTAAATCTAAATGTTCAATTCTTTTCTTTCCTTTTTTTTTTTGCTACTGAGATCGAACTCAGGACCTTGTGCTTGTCAGGCAGGCCCTGTGCTGCTGAGCTACATTTCCAGCCCACTTTTTTTTTCTTTTCTCTGTAAGTGGAATTCCCTGATATTTGAACTAAATCAGCCTGGCAAAGGGGAAAAAATGGGACTTTCCAAGTGACAGAATATCCTGTCACTTCCCTGTAAAGTTTTCTTTGTAACCTAAAATATTTCAGGTGAGTTTTTCCAAACTACAGCAAAGCCCAAAGCGGTTCTCACTTCCCTTTAGTTGGTGGCAGCTAAAGTCGACAAGGCCTCTAATCCTAGCCAGCTGCGCCACCTACTGTGCAACTGTGAAATTGCATCATTTAATTACAATTGACAAAACCGAGCCTTTCCCTCTGGGTGTACGCACTACTGAAAATGTCACACAAAGGCAGAGCCGCTGCTGCGTGGAAAATTTAAGAAAGATTCAAGGCTAATTTGCACTACCCACAATTTCCACATTATTTTACCTTTATTACTAAAGAATAGTTTCAGAAGTCGGGACCCACAGTTCTTTTCTTTCAGCACATTAAAAGAAATTATGCCACATCCTGCCCGGCTTCTCATATTGTTGTTTCTCCATAAATAACACATTGGTGCTGTGCGTGGCACCTCACACCTGTGATCCTGAGGCTGAGGCAGGAGGACCACCTGAACTGCATAGTGAGATCCTGGCTGCAAAAAATCTGTTTTGGGGGGAGTATGCTTTCAAGACTTTGTTGTTGTTTTTGAAGCAGGGTCCCACTAGGAAGCCTAGGCTGACCTCAAACTCATGGTGCCTCCCTGCCTCAGTTTCCTGAGTGCTGAGGTTTGCGCCACCATGCCCACAAAGGTTTTTGTCCTTGTTTTGGGTTTTCTAGCTTAATGATGCATCTGGCAAGGGTTTCTTTGGAAAGGGTCTCTGGTGAGGTAGAATTTTTATGCCTACTGTGTGCCAGGCACTGCTCTAGGCTTTTGGCATTCAGTGGGAAATGAAAAGGAGATAGGAATCTCTGCCCTCAGGAAGCTGGTGTTAGCGGGAGGCAATCAGCAAATACCAGGAGTAGAGAGGACATTATATGACGAGGTTCGGAGAGAAATAAACACATTTGAGATCTGAGCTAGGAGCTCCTGGATGCAGAAAGGGAGAAGTCCTTGTGCCAGGGACTCCCTGAGGAGGTGTCATCCGAACAGGAGTCTGAGTGTGGGGACACTTTGGGGCAGATAGAAAAGCAAGTGCAAGGGCCCTGAGGCAGGAGTGTGCCCTGAGGGTTTGCATACCGTGAGGGTGGAGTGGACAGAGTTGGGGGAGGCTGGGCGGTGAGGACAGAGCGTTGGGGTGGGATCATGTGGGGTCTTGTGGGCCACCATGGAACTGGGGCTTTTTCTCTGAGCGACACAGGAGCCATGGAAAACTTCTGAGCAGAGAAGGGACATAAGGTGACTTTGGTGTCGATAGGAGGCCAGGAGCAGGGAGTGAGGAGGCCATTGCTCAGGTCCAGGTAGAGGGCGGTGCTGGTCCTGGTGGAAGGATTTGAAGGTCAAACACAGGGTGTGCGGTAGTGTTGGCGAATCTGGTTTCTCAGTCAATGTGTTCTTTTCCTTTCTGACCAACAATCTCACATATTGAGTCTTTGCCATGTTCTTTGGGTCTTGGTTCAGACGCCCCCTCCTCCAGGGAGCCCCCCAGGGCTCCTGTGCTCCAGGTCCGGTCCCGCTGCTTGTCTAATGGCAGAGCCTCTGCTTGTCACCAGGATCCACACGAAGCACGCTCTGGGTCATGGCATTTTTATAATCTGCTTAGGGTGAGCTTGGTACCCGGCCTGGTTTTACTAAGTTCTGGGTCACGAGACATTATTGCATTTGTTATTAGGATTGCTGTTGGCCTCGCAATATTAGTTCCTGGTTCCCAGGGCTCTTGGAATTCCCTTTCTCTGTGCTGGCTTGAAAAGGAAAGTGAGACCCAGGGGCAGGTGCAGAGGTGAGGCCAAAGTTCCTTCCCCGCTGCTACCCCTCCTTCTGGGAGCCACTGTCAGCCGTCACCACAGTGTGTGTGTTCGCTGCAGGTGGGAGGGGAGAGACAGGAGGCAGTGGGGCCACAGCTCGAGTGGACACCAAGTCTGCGTGGGGAGCCTGGAGTCGGACGGCCTGGCACACAGGGGCCAGGTGCCACGACCCATGGGCTTGGCCCGTTTACGGAGCTGCTGGTGGGCAGGACTCCTGCTCTCAGGTGAGGGCTCTGCTTCCTGCTGATGGGGGTGGGTGGGGGTGTGTGGGGTGCTCTGTGTGTGTGTGTGTGTCCACTTGTCAGTGGGG